CCCATACTAAAGAATTTGGCACACTGAAAGTATTAGGGACAAACTGCTGGATGGACCAGATAACTGACCATTGATGACTAATTAACTTATTGATTGACTGGATGAATGAATGACTGATTGACTTTTCAATTGATCAAACTATGGGCTCGCTAACTGACAGCTCTTGTGGCCCAGAGCAAAATTCTATCTTTTCCCTTTCATCTTCCTGTACTCTCAGACCCTGGAATCTATCCCCTAGGAAAAGGCCATACAAGTAATCTATTAGATTAGTTCCAGGTCACATTGGAGATTTTTAATTAAGTCAGGCAAAGGACAGAAGACCACAGTGGAAGACACTGACCAATGACTAGAGGGCTTGGGGTGGGGCGGGAGTTGGGGGGGATGAGAGCTGGGAAAATGAGAAACTGATGGGCAGACATTGGAAAAGGGGCACTTCCCCTAGGTCCAGTCTCCAGAGGGCAGGCAGTGGTTTTGGCCTGAGCTGTTTGCTGTGCCAGTTTCAACCTTGAGGGCTCACTAAGGTCTGGCCCTTGTTGCCCCCACCCTCACCCTGGGACATGGTGTCTTTCTGAGCCATGAGAATTTCCCATTGATTAAAAGCTCCATCCTCCCATCCCCATTAGGGCTCCTTCTTCTCTCCATCCCTGATGGCTGGCTTATGCTCTAGGCCCGGGAACCCCAAGCTCAGAGTCCTGTGAGTTCCATGGATTTGACTCCGCCTTCTGCCCTCATACCCTGTGTCAGATTGACCCAAGGCAACAGGTAGGCAGGTGCTACCAGCTCAAAAGCAGTCTGATTGCATTTTAATGATAATAATTGATGAGAAATGTCATGGCATAATAGGTAGAGCACGAGCCTCAAAGTCAGGAAGCCCCATGTCTGCCTCTCATTAACTGGTACAGTGATCATGAGAAAGTCACGTAACCCCCAGACAACTCTGTGAGGATGCAGAGAAGTAGATGAGGTCATCTGCATTGGTGGAGGGCACTTTCACACTGGAAGTGTCCCACATGGATGAAATCATCAGTCCTGACAATAATAATAATAATAATGATAACAACAACAACAATAATAATAGAAACAGCTCATTCTGAGAGCACTTTAAGCTGCACACAGCATTGTCCCTACAACAGCTCCATGAGGTTGGTTGTTCAAAGAGCATCATTCCTATTTTATGAAAGGAAGGAAGGAAGGAAGGAAGGAAGGAAGGAAGGAAGGAAGGAAGGAAGGAAGGAAGGAAGGAAGGAAGGAAGGAAGGAAGGAAGGAAGGAAGGAAGGAAGGATCTGAAACATCTGAGGAAACAAAGGTTTGAGCTTCCAAGCATATTGATGTATTAAGTAATGCATGCCAATTGCATGACAAATTGGGACCAGGCCTCAGCTAGGCATTGGACCTTCATTACAGGGGTAGACAGATTTTTATGCACTAGAAAAGCAATTGACAGGATATAAACTAGGATATAGGGCCGCTAGTTGGCGCAGTAGATAGAGCACTAGGCTTGGAATGTGGAAGACTTGAGTCAAATCTAGTATCAGATATTTACTAGCTATGTAACCTTGGGCAAGTCACTTAACCCCACCTACCTCAGTTCCTCATCTGTAAAATGGGAACACACTGGAGAAGGGAATGGCAAATGACTCCAGTATCTTTGCCAAGAAAACCCCATGGGGTTATAGAGAGTCAAATACAACTGAACTGTTTAACAACAAAAACCAAGACACAAGATTAAGGAATCTGATTTTTAATTGGAGAAAAGATTAGGGGCTTTCTGAATTGGGAGGGGGAGAGAAAATAGGTATAATTCCCTGAAATCAGAAAAAAAAATAAAGATCCCACTCCCTCCAAGTGTCTGTAATCAGTCAATGAATACATATACTTTGAAAGAAGAGGTTGAACTAAATACATGGGTCTTTACAATGCTGAAAAACAGAGTCCCAGAAAAGGGAGGTGATTTACCCAAGGTCACACAACTAGAAGTTGGGGCAGGCTTTGAACCCCTGTCTCCTGACTCCAGGTTAGATACTTTTCCCCTGACCCCATGCTGCCTCTCTAGGAAAATGAGCCCTGGCAGGAAAAGTAGAGTGGTTTGCCATTTCCTTCTTCTGTTCATTGTACAGATGAGGAAACTGAGGCAAATGGAGTTAAGTGCTCCGGGTTACACAACTGGTAAGCATATTTTAAAATAAATATGTGGAAATCAGGAAGGACTAATCAGAAAACAGAGAAGCAGGCTGGTGAGTCAGGAAGAATACCGAATCTAGAGTTAGTTATTCCTTATAGGGAGCAGGAGAAAGGAGGCAGCCAGAGGGGGTTTCCAGGTAGGGCTTGGAGGAAGTCTTTGCCAGCCTGTTCACTGGGCTTCCCAGGGAGACCAGGAGAATAGTATTCCCAGCAGGTACCATCACTTTGACCTCAGTGAGCCTCCCTATCTAAGCCTGGGGTCCTGGGGTCATCTTGTAAAACCTTACCCCCCTCACCTCCAGATATGCTGGCCTGCAGCTGACTCAGTCCAGGATGATTCAGGACTTTTGGGGGAAAACAAAATAAAGGAGTTGGGGATGTCTCCTCAGTTACAAGGTTGCCTCGGTTTCCCCAATTGCATGGGAAATAGCCCCAAAGACACTAGGTTTGGATTCAGGACACCTGCCACTTCCCCCTGCCTTTGTGGTCTTAGGGCAGTCATATGCCCTGAGTCCAGTTTCCTCCTCTGTAAAACTAAAGGATCAAATTAAGTGCTCTCTTAAAATTGCTTCTGGTTTTAAAATCTGAGCTCTTCCAGGGATCTGCTCTGGGATCTCCCAGCTCACTGCCTCAGGAAATCCTAGGAAAGCATGTGGAAAGAAACTTCTCAGACTCTAGGATGACGCTCCAGCAGAGTTCAGCGGGTCCTGCCCAGCTGTCAAGGCTTCAAGCAGGGTTCTTGCAAGAGACAGCAATTTCAGCGGAGGTGCTATTCATTCTCAGCGTGAAGTAGGGAGGGGCAGGGGGGCGAAGTGGGAAGGGGCAAGGGGACAGAGCAGGATAGGCTTTGGAAGACACTTACAAACTTCGAATCACAGAATGCTGGAGCTAGAAAAAAAAAGGCAGAGTTTATACAAAATACCCAGTATGGAGAAAGGCAGAAAGGCTAGCTTGGTTGGAATACAGCAGGCAAGGAAGGGAGTTATGGAAAATCTAACTGGAAACAGTACACAAGACATTGGCCATTTCATAAGCAAGCCTCTTTCTTTTGTCCTTCATGTATCAGAATTTTTACATTTGTGGAATATTAGATATAGAATTGAAAAAAAAAGAAAAATAAGTCAGGAACTCAGATCTTGAATCCTTCATGGCCTCTGGTTTTATGCTTTAACACTTCTGCAAACATGAACTGGGAGTCGGGGCCCCTGGAGCAGTTCTGCACATCCCCAGTTCAATTCTGCACATTTATTAAGGACCTACCACGGACAGGATCTTGGGAGATCCAAAATGCTGGTGATGCAAAGTATTGATTTTAGAGTCAGAGGACCTGGGTTGAAATCCTGCCTCTGCTACCAACCAGCTGCATGATCTTGGGCAAATCAATTGATCTCTACTGGCCTTGGTGATCTCATCTGGAAAATGAGAGGGGGCTGAGCTAAGTCACCTCTAAGATGCCTTCTGGCTCTGAATCTGTGATGAAAATCACAGGGAGCTTCTGTTGTCCCAGGAGAATATGATTGATAGATAGATAGGTAGGTAGATAGATAGATAGATAGATAGATAGATAGATATTTAGATAGATAGCTATTTAGATAGATAAATGGATAGAAAGACAGACAGACAGACAGGTACATATTTATATAGATAGGTATGTGTGTATATGCATGCACACACATATATACACACAATGTATTTATATATGCCATATGTGTGTGTATGTATGTATGTGTATGTATGTATGTATGTATGTATGTATGTGTGTATATATATATATATATAATACATCCATAAGAATAATGACAGGATGAATGGGAGAGGCCAAAGGAGAGATCCAGAGGATGTAGATGCCCTAGGAAAACTAGAGGAGAGAGAAAATGCTAGATTTTTAAATTTCTTAATCTAGTCATTTCTAGTGAGAGGCTGTCCAGAGCAGTAGATAGAGAGCTGGCCTCAAAGGCAAGAAAAGCTGTTTGGCCCTGGGCACGTCCCTTAACTTCTCAGGTAACTCAATAAGAGTCTAAGTTGCAGAAAGGGTGGTGACCTGTATTGGTAGAGGAATTTTCCTTACCTGGGAGTTCCCTTTAATCAATGAAATCCCAGGTCCAGTCCCTGGCCCTCTTCCCTGTAGGTAAGAGCTCATAGGTGAACAAATAAATAAAAGTTAGAAAATGATTAAGTACATAGCAGAGTTCAGAAAGGTCCAAATGACTCTAGGCAGGAGGAATCCCTTGTTAGCTAGGAGAATCAGGGAAGACTTCATAGAGGAGGTGACACCTGGTTTAGGTCTTAAAGGACAGTAGTAGGTAGAGAAAGGAACTTGCAAGTTAGTAGATGTGTGTTCAAGTTCCAGCTGTGCTAACTAGCTGTGTAACCTGGGGAAGTTAACTGATCCTCTCTAGGCCTTAGGTTGGGTTTTTTTTCCCCATAAAATAGAAATAGTAACATTTGACCCTATTTGGAGATAGAGGGTTGGATAAAGTGCCCCTAATCCGTGGATATAACAATCCAAGAGGATATACTACCCATTTTATCACCAAACTGGGGGGGGGGGAATAAAGAGGTTGAGTCAGAGTAGATAAGCATTTATTAAGTACCTACTGTGTGCCAGGGACTGTGTTAAGCACTGGGGGTGCAAAGACAATCCTTGGCCTCAAGGAGCTCACAGTCTAACGGGGGAAACAACACAAGAAAGAAACTGAAAGCAGGGGATGGGGGGAGGGGTTCCCCAGGCTCAGGTGTGTGTTTCCATGACCTCATGTAGTTGGGGTGGGCAATGATCTGAGGAGGCGGGAGCTTCTAAGTTGGTTTTGTCTTGCAGAAGAATGAGTTTCTGGAGATGATGAAGTCTAAGAATTCCCTGAGTGTCAGCCTTAGAAGGAGGAGGCTCAGGGAGGGAGGAGCTCCCAGATGTCCACCTCTCATGCTCTCCAAGGAAAGTGGGGTGCCTGGGGTAGGGGGTGCTAAGGAGGTGGGAGTTTACCAGTTGATTTCATCTTGCAGAAAGGGATGCTCTGAAGGAAAGCTACAAAGTTTAAAATTCATAAATGCTAGAGCTGGAAGGAAATAAAGTGAGGCCTTTGGGGCTGCCAGGGGGACCGTAGTACATAGAGCGCCAGGCATAGAGGCAGGAAGACTCATCTTCCTGAGTTCAGATCTGGCCTCAGACACATACTAGCTGTGTGACTCTAGCCAAGTCACTTAACCCTGTGTGCCTGTTTCATCATCTACAAAATGAGCTGGAAAAGGAAATAGCAAACCACTTAAGTATCTTTATCAAGAAAATCCCAAATGGGGCCATGAAGAATCTGACACGACTACTGAACAACGAAAAACTGAGGCCCAGAAAAGTTAAACAGTTTTCCCAAAGTCACACAGTGAGTGAGCTCCAGAGCAAGAAATCAGACCAAAGGCTCCTGGCTTCAAGTTCCAGGGCCTCCATTTCTGGACTCTTGGGAGTCAGATATTCAGCAGTCTCTTGGTTCAGGCTTAAGTCTCATGAACAGCCATAGACCTTTCCCTATTCCAATGTAGAGACCAAAGCCAGAACAGATTTTTGTTGGGGTTATGGAGAGGATTAGATGAGATGATGTGTGAGAGCAATTGGTAAACTCTCAGCCCAGCCCTCTATGGCACACTATATGGCACACCTCTATGTGGTATAAATTATAAATACGTACCTTAATTGAGTGGTTGAAGAGGAGAAAAGGCAGAAAATACCAAGAGTGTCTTAATGGCCATCTAAGGATGTCCAGTTCTGGGGGAACTGGCCAGATCTCACCTATGTGCTAATTAATTGGGCAGGTTTCCAGGAGAGGAGACTGACCTCCTGAAAGAACCCTGACCTGATCTCTTTCCACCCCATGGTGGGAAACATGTCTTTATAGGACCAGCCCAGCAGAGGACTGAAATGTCGGATTCAGAAACTGAGATCAAGATGAGCAGTAAGCCTGAATCTAAAAGCCAAACTGAGCCAGTCCAGAAGAGGCTCTGTTCCAACTTATTTCTCAGCATCAAGGTACCAAATCTCACACCAGAGCACCTTGGGAGAGAAAGGGCTGATCCTGGAGAAGACAGGTTCAGGGAAATCCTAGGTGCATGGCCCTGGGAACAGGGAAATTTAGAAGACGGTCTGGCTTGTGGCTTGGTTACCAGGATCCTCGAAGGTAGAATCTAAGGAGTCCCCAATCAGAGAAGGGGAGACAGATTATATACAAGTGGAATAAGAAAAATCTAACAATACTAAAGAATCAACTGTTGATTCTCTACCCTAAAGAAGCAGTTTGGGCCAAATGACTATTATCCCAAAAGTTATTTTTATTTGACCATGAATCAAATGAGGTATATTCTGTACTCACTTTCTTCCCTAGTTCTCTGTCTTTCTCTGTGTCTCTGACTGTGTCAGTCTGTCTCTGTCTGTCTGTCTGTCTGTCTCTCTCTCTCTCTCTCTCTCTCTCTCTCTCTCTCTGTCTCCCCCCCCCATAGCCCCAGAGCTCTGGCTGGAAAGGAGGGAGAGTCCCAAGAGAATGGGGTGGGAGTTGGGGGGTAGGGGACAGGGTGATAACAGAATGGCCGGGGATTTGTCCTGAACTGTGAATAAGTTGGAATTGACCTCAAATTCTAAAATACAATTAGAGGTGTCCTTAGGGATAGGATGGAGAAGTGGGAGAAGGATAAGGTCGATTATGCTGAGTCAATCCTAGGAGACTTCCTGGGTGAAAGGGCCTATAACTGAGACATAAAGGACAGAACATGGTGAGTGGGGTGAGGAAAGACATTTCCTAATCCAACTCCAGAATAGGGGTTGAAAGGCCAGATAGGGCTCCCAAAGCTCTACCCACTCACCCCTACACTCTCCTCTGGGAGCTCCCCTACCCTTTCCAACCACAGCAACCCACCGATGTAGTCCTGGCAATGTGGAGAGGGCTGGAAGAGGGGATCTAGGAAGTAGAGAAGAATTCACAGCCCACAAACTTAAGTCGCAACCAACGAACAGTTTTTTGGAGTTCTGCACCTCTAGTACTGTTGGCCCCACCAGCTCCCCAAGAGACTCCCCTGGGATCTGTCTCTCTCCTCATCCCTCCCCAGCTCTTGGAGGTCCTGCTTCAGAAGCTTGAGAGGAATTAATAAGTATCTTCTTCCTCTCTCCCCACACCCTCCTTCTCATATAAATCATGTCTCCCCTCTACTCCCTCTCTTTGGTCTTTCTCTTCTTCTCTCCTCTCTCTCCCTCCCTTTCTTCTATCATTCCCTCTTTCCTTTTCTTCTATGTCTTTCCCTCTTCTGTCTCTCCCTCCCTTTCTCCCTCTTTTATCTGTTCTTTCTTCTCCTCTCTCTCTCCTTTGTCTCTCCCTCTCTTTTGTCTTCTGTCTCTGTCTCTCCTTCCCTTTCTCCCTCTCTTCCATCTGTTCTTCTTTCTCCTCTATCTTTCCCTCCTTCTCTCCCTCTCTTTTGTCTCTCCCTCCCTCTGTCCTTTTGTATCTTCCCCACCCCCTGCTGTCTCTCCCTCCTTCTCTCCCCCTCTTTTGTCTCTTCCCCCTTCTGTCTCTGTCTCTCCCTCCTTCCCTCTCTCTCTCCTTTGTCTCTCCCTCTCTTCTGTCTCTCCCTCTCTTCTGTCTCTGTCTCTCCCTCCTCTCCCTCTCTTCTGTCTCTGTCTCTCCCTCCTCTCCCTGTCTTCTGTTTCTGTGTCTCCCTTCTCCATTCTCACTCTCCTCCTTTCCCCTTCTGCGTCTCTGCAGGTCTTTGTACTGTGCCACAGCCTGCTTCAGCTGGCCCAGCTCATGATCTCAGGCTACCTGAAGAGCTCCATCTCTACCATAGAGAAACGCTTTGGCCTGTCCAGTCAGACCTCGGGGCTCCTGGCTGCCTTCAATGAGGTATGTCCAATCCCCCAGCCCTGCTGCGCACCAGGCTATCCTGGCACCCTGGGGAGCGAGTGAAGGTGTCTTCTTTCTCGCTCCCATTGCTGCCTCTTCTCAGTTCTCTCCTGCTGCCTGTGTCCAGGACCGTTCACCTTTAGCTACAGTTGGACTCCCCAGTGATACTCCCCTGTATCCAGGCCTTCAGGGACTCCCTCTGGGTCTTCAAAACTAACAGTTGACTCTCCAAGAGGCAACACCATGTAGTGGGAAGACTCCTGGACTTCAACTTCCTCTAACATCCTGTGACCATCAACAAGTCCCATCCCTTCTCAGGGGGAATGTGCCTCTATAGAAATAAAGGATTAGATTAAATAGCCTTTCCAGGCCCCCCCAGCTCTAACATTCTATGTTCTAAAGGTTCCTTTTAGTTCTAATGTTCTATGTTCTAAGGTCTCTCCTAGAGCCTCAGTTCTGTTTTCTACCTTTTCTTCCCCCTGAATGTCTGTGTTCAATATTCTGTTCTAAGGTCCTTTCCAACTCTGACATTGTTAGTGTATGAACAATTAGTAAACTCCTACCCTGGATTTGTTTGGGGAAGGCTGGAACTGGCCAGACAGACTCCTTTAAGGAGAATTGGGGTTGTCTTTCATCCCCGCCACACAGTACAGTTGGTCAAAGTCACTGAATATTTATCACCATTGCCACCACTCCTCCTGGCCTCTGGAGCCTGAAAATGGAAAGTGGAGATTTTTCAATCGCTGTGCAACTTTAGGCAAGTGGCCCCCCTTTCTGAGCCTGTTTCCTCCTCTATAAAATAAAAGTGTTAGAATAGAGTGGCTGAAAGGGCTAATTGCAGAATCAGGGAGCTGGGGAGCACCCAGTTATCTCACATAGAAGAAAATTGAGACTTGGGAAAGGGAAATCAGTCACCCCGGGTCACGTGACTCGTGAACTCATAGATGTTAGGGTCAGAAAGGACTTCAAAGATTATTTAGTTCAGGAGCAGCTAGGTGGCACATGGGATACAGCACTGGTCTTGGAGTCAGAAGGACCTGAGTTCAAATCTGGCTTCAGACCAAACACTTGACACTTACTAGCTGTGTGACCCTGGGCAAGTCACTTAACCCCAATTGCCTAAAAAAAAGCAAAAAAAAAAAGATTATTTAGTTCAACCTTTTCAGCCCACAGAGGAGGGAGATGAAGCCATGAAGGTTAAGTCATTTGCTCAAGATCACATCACAAGGTGGTCAAAGAGAAGTTGTGTCCAAGGTCTCATGACTCCTAGACCATGGCCCTTAGGTCCCTTCCAGCTTTTAAATTCAGTGGTTCTCCCCAGAATCCCCCTATATCTATAGCAGTGAGTACACTTCCCCCCTCCATCCCCTGGCTTGATGAGGGTCTGGAGTTGGGAGCCTCTCTTTTTGAGGACTGCTAGATGGGCGTGAGGGCAGCTAGGTGGCCCAGTGCGTAAAGCATCAGGCCTGGAATCAGGAAGACTCATCTTCCTGAGTTCAAATCCAGCCTCAGATAGTTCCTGCCTGTATGATCCTGGGCAAGTCACTTAACCCTTTTTGCCTCAATTTCCTCATCTGTAAAAAAAAAAATGAGCTGGAAAAGAAAATGGCAAACCACTCCAGTATCTTTACCAAAAAAAAATCCCAAAACCACAAACCCAAATGGGATCACAAAGTTGGACACAACTGAACAACAACAAGGTGGGCATGAGTATGAGAGTATGAGCTGTGGGGATGGGGGTGAAGCATGGCAGGAGGCCTCTTAGAACAAGGTATTTGGAGACAGGTGAATGGATGAGGTGACCCCAATCTGTAGAGATAAGATCTAATGGGTTATGTCCATTCTCAGCATCAAGTTAGCTTGGGGTCTAGGGGGAAGGGATACAGAGGCTTTGGGAGCTAGAGGGAGAATTTTAGAGCTCATCTAGCTTAACTCTGTACTTTACAGGGATACAAACTGCAGCCCAGAGAAGTTCAGTCCCTTTCCTGAAGTCGCACTTAGGGTCAGTGGCAGAGCCAGGAGTCAAAGCGAGGTCTTCTGACTCCATGTCCAGTGCACTTTCCTTCATTCTTAGAGTCTCAGGAGTCTGACAGTAAGCAAACGGTATCTTGGATTAGTCTCAAGTCTTGTAAATTTCCACAACATCAAGACCTTCACCCCACTTCCACGTTGCTAGGTAAGGACCATAGGCAAGAAAGATTTGGTTTTCAGATAAACTGTTGGGGGTTGGGGCTTCTCAGTGCTACAGCTCTCACTTCGATAGTACAGAAGTATGAACATTCCTATGTCAATCCATGCTCTTTCTCAAGAATATGTCATGGTCAGCTCTCTATTAACAACTATTTCATACCACCTCCTAAGGTAGCTAGTACAAGGATTATTATATTATCCCTATTTTATAGAGGAGTAAACTGAGGTTCAGAGGAGTAAAGGAACTTGTGCATGGCCACACACAGCTGGCAGGTATTGGAGCTGGCATTCAATCTCAGGTTTCTTACTCCAAATCCAGGGCTGTTCCCAGTCCACTGCACAGTGGCCCATAGAGAGGAAGTCAGCTTGTCAGCCTTTTACCCTTTCCTGACTCTTCTCCCTTGCAGGTGGGGAACACGACCCTCATCGTCTTCGTGAGCTACTTTGGGAGCCGGGTCCACCGGCCCCGTCTGATTGGCCTGGGAGCTGTCCTAGTCGCACTGGCAGGGCTCCTCATGAGCCTTCCCCACTTCATTGCTGAACCCTATCGTTTTGACCACGTTGACCTTGGTGAGAGAGAGCCTAGAGACAGACCATTGGGAGTCTGTGGGGAGATCTCACTCAGTTGATGGAATATAAAGTTCTTATGAGGAGCAGTGAGAAAGAAGCCTGGAAAAATGGAGAAATATTAAATTCTAGTGAGCTTTGAATGTCAAGCTAATGAATTCTTTAGGTAATGGGGGGTTACTAAATATTCTGGAACAAGCTAGTAATGAGGGCAGACTTATCTTTTTGGAAGATTATTTTGGCCAGTGTTTGAAGGATGGATTAGAGAGAGAAGAGATTGGAGGAAGATAGACTAGTTAGCAGGCCAGATAAGAGATTATGAGATCCTGAATTAGACTGAATTATCAGTATGAGTGGAGTGGAAGGGACTGAGATGAGAGATGTTTTGGAGGCAGAATCAACAGTATTTGGAAAGTGACTGGGTGAAGAAAGGGAGAGGAAGGAAAGGAGAGAGTCAAAGACAATTCTAAGAGTTGGAGTCTGGGTGTCTAGGAGGATGGTGGTGCCATTGGCAAACATAAGGAAGTTGGAAGAAGGTTTAGAAGGAAAGATGAATAAGTTCTAGGAACCCGTTAAGAGTGAGTGGCCATTGGAACCCCTGAAAGGGTGCAACAGGCAACTGACATGTGAAACTGGAGCTATGGAGTTAGTGGTCTTGGCCAAACTGAGGATGTTCTATTTGATTCTGAAGGTGATGAGATGCCACTGGAGTCTATTAAGTAGGGAATGTGCCATGGTCAGACCTGGGCTTTAGGAGGATCAGACTGATAGCTGAGTGTAGGCCTGAGGCCCCGAGACAGCATGGAACGGTATTAGTGATATAACAACCAGCTTTGTACCTGCATCTTCTTTGAGAAGAGATGGATCTGACTGGAAAGGATCTGAAAAAGAGGGGTCAACCAAAAGGCCACCGCAATAGCCTAGGAAGCATAAAATGCTTCAGGGAACTCCCATGAGGCTAAGGACTGATCAAAGGCTATTGCATTGGATAACTAGGAGCCCACTGGGGACCAAGATCAGGATGTTTCTATAGAGTAGTGCAGTCTAACACCAGAGTACAGCGGATTGAGGAGTGAGGAGGGCCAAGTATAGATGATGCTTTCTACAGCTTTGGTGGTGAAAGGAAGAAGAAGGAAGTGTTGGCAGCTTGGTGGTAGTAGCAGAAAGGGTATTTGAAGTATTGAAGAATTGGCATTGAAATATTGAAGAAAGGGTATTTTTAATTCAGTGAAAAGATGCCTACAAGCAAAGGGAAAGGAGCCAGGAGAGAGAAGAGAGAGAGAGAGAGAGAGAGAGAGAGAGAGAGAGAGAGAGAGAAATTAAAAATTCATGAGAAAGAGGGGATGATCACTGGGGCATGGTCCTAAAGGAGATGAGATCAAAAATTTAAAGAATTTTTAAAAATTTAAAGCTGGAAGGGATATCTAGTCCAATGTCTTCTGGTACCTTTTTCACATGAGAAAATTGAAATCCAAAGACAAGTGACTTATCCAAAGTCACACAGAAAGTTAGGGGCAGAGCTGAGAACCAGTGTCTTCAGATCTAATGGTACTACAATGAAAAAAAATGGCATTTCATCTTTTGAGACTGGAGGACAGTAGACAACTAGGTGAGGACATAGAGAAATTTTGAGGCATAGAAAAGGGGAGCTGAGGAAGTTTGTATAATTTGGATCTTCTCAGTAAGGGTCCATTATGCAAAGTCTTGGACATCAGCTCCAAATATTACCCTTAGAAAGAAAGTCAAGTCAACAGGCACGTATCAAGGACTTAGTATGTATCAGATGCCACGCTAAGTGGTAGGGATACAAAGAACAGCAAAGATAGGTAGATAGATAGATAGATAGATAGATAGATAGATAGATAGATAGATAGATAGATGGATAGATGGATGCAAGAATGCATAGGTGAATAAATGGATGGATAAATGACCTTTCCCTCAAAGAGGGATCAGTAATGGAAGAGATAACATGCAAACAACTATGTATATACAAGTTATATACAGATAAAATGGGAGGTAATCTCAGAGGGAAAGCACTAAGATTAAGGAAGACTGAGAAAAACTTTTTGCAGCAGATGAGATTTTAGCTGAGACTTGAAGGAAGCCAGGGAATCCTGGAAGTAGCACTGAAGAGGGAAAGTATTTTGGAAATGGAGAACAGCCAGTGAAAATGCCTAGAGTTGGGAAATGGATCATCAAGTTTAAGGAATGACAAGGAGACTATTGCCACTGGATTGCCAAGAACACGGGAGGGAGAGGGTGGAAGGTGTAAGAAGATTGGAAAGGTAGGAAGAGCCAGGTTATGAAAGGCTTTAAAAGACTTCCCTATTTGATCCCGGAAGTAATAAGGAGTCTATTGAAGAGGGGTTGTGACTTAGCCTTGAGCTTTAGGAAGATCAATTTGAGAGCTGACTGGAAGGTGTTCTAGAGTTGATGCAGGAAGGCCAACTGGAAGGCTATTGCAATATTGCAGGTGTGAGGTGATGAAGACCTGCACCAGGTGGCAGTATCAGAGGCGAGAAGGAAGTGTATACAAAAGGTGTTTCCTATACGATACATAGAGCTTTGGCACCTGATTGGGTATAGAAGAGTGAGAGAGTGAGAAGTTTAAGGATGATGCCTAGGTTGTGAGGCTGGGTGACTGGAAGGATAGTTGTACCCTCAACAATAATAATGAAGTTAGGAAGAGGGGCAGGTTTGGGGAAAAAGAGAATAAGTTCAGTTTTGGACATATTGAGTTTAAGAAATCGGCTAGATTTCCAATTCGAGCTGTCCAATAGACAATGGAGATGCAGGACCAGGAGTCAGGAAAGAGGTTAGGTCTGAACATGGACTAGACATGTCAATCTGAGAATCATCTGCATAGAACTGTAATTGATTCCATGGGAGCTGATGAAATAGCCAAAGGAAATAGCATGAAAGGAGAAAAGAAGAGGGCCCAGGACAGAGCCTTGAAAAGGTTATGATTCTACAAGGTAAACAGAAAAAATACATAAATATGATTGTAGAGCTGGAAAGACCCTAGAACAATAGAAGGTCAGAGCTGGGAGGGACCTTAGAGGCCATTTAGTCCAACACCCTCATTCTACAGCCCAAAGAAAGTTGGAGGGGACATTAAGGAGCTCGCCCAAAGTCATAGGGAAGTGAGTAGCAGGGTCAAGATTTGAATATTGCTCCTCTGGCTTCAATCCAGCTCTCTTTCTACTCTTCCACAGTGCATCCTGGCAAGCACATGGAACACAGAATATTCTAGCTGGAACACTGCATAGTATATCAGAACTGGAAGGGATCTTGGGACAGAGGCCACAGAATTTCAGAGCTGGAAGCTGGAGCCTTAGAGCTCTCATTTAATCTAGACCCATATTTTTTTAGAGGAGGAAACTAAAGCCCCAGGAGATGAAGGAAGGTCATACACAAGTAATAACAGAGCTGGGATTTGAACCCAAATTCAATAATTGAAATTCAATATCTCTATTATCAACATGGTCGCCCTGAAATAAATGGCCTGATTTTAGAGAGAAAGAGAGAGTATCTGCACAAATACTCAAATATGCATATTGCATGTGTGTGTGTGTTAACAAGATTTTTACAAAGTTTGTTCGCCAAATATTTGCAGCTCATGTGAGGGGAGCAAATATTATTGTCTGTCTTCATTGAGGGTGTGCTTTTATTACACAGGGAAGATGTGTCCTGGAATAAACTCTAAATAAACCCCAAAATTAAGGTAAAGGGTATAAATTTGAACTCAAGGGGGGAAAAGCAATCTAATCCAGTAGTTTAGGAATTATTGAAGTTTGAAAGGGACCTCAGACACTGTTAAGTCAAGCTCTGCCTTTTTGTTGGAGGAGGAAACTAAAGCATGGGGCTATGTAGGAAGTTAGTGACCCACTCGGTCAGAGCTGAAGGGACCTTAGAGATGATCTAGTCCAGGAATTTTTAACCTTTTTTATGCCACAGATCCCTTTTCCAGGAATCTGGGGAAGCCTCTGAACCCCTTCTCCAGAATAATGTTTTTAAATGCATAAAATAAAAATACATAGGATTTACAAAGGTGACCAATTATATCAAAGTAGTTGTCAAAACATTTTTAAAAAGCAAGTTCATGGCCCTCAGGTAAAGAATTCCTGATTCTGGTCCAGCTTCCTCATTTTAAGGCCCAGAGAGGGGAGAGAATTTGTCTAAGGGCACACAAGCAGTAAACAGTAGAAGTGAGATTAGAACCCCGGTGTTCTGGTTCTTAATTCAGTGCTCCTGCTGTTTAGGTCAGTGCTCTTTCCTCTCTATACCATGAAGGTGGGAAGGAGGTGGGGGCAGAGGCCCAGAAAGAGAAGAGGGGCTGACCCTGGGGTACGTGGGTGGAGAGGATGGGTAATGAAAGAACGGAGTGTGACTGGTCTCTCTGGTGATTTCCCCTACATATCCATTTACTCGTTCCACCTGTTTTCACAGACTTGCCTCAGGACTCTGCTTCTTCCTTATGCGTGCTGCCCACTCCCCCCCCAGCGCTGCCCACGCCCCCCCCAGCACTGCCCACGTCCCCCCCAGCGCTGCCCACGTCCCCTCCAGCGCTACCCACCCCTCCCCCAGTGTTGACCAAGCCCCCCTCAGCAGTGGTTGTGGTCTCTGTTGGACTCAAAAACCGAAGCAACAGCAGCTGTGCCTTGTACTCGGAGGCACGGCAGGTAGCAGTGGTGGGGATCATGTTCCTGGCACAGACCTTGCTTGGTATAGGTGCTGTGCCCATCCAGCCCTTTGGAATCTCCTACATCGATGACTTTGCCCACCCCAGCAATTCTCCCCTCTACTTAGGTAAGAATCAGACATGCTATCCTTAGCCAGGACCCTGGAGAGCTGGGAGGGGGATTTAAGGATTGAGACTAGAGTGAAGCTTGCAAATGAGATTGTGGATGAAGCTGGTGTTAGAGTTAGCATTGGGGTTAAAGGTAAGGGAGAGGATGGGTTTTAAATTGCGTTTGTTAGGGCTGGATTAGAATTCAGATCCAATATTCAGACAGGGTTTAGATTTGGAAGTAGAGTTAAAGATACATTTAGGATTGGGGCTAGGCGAAAGGATTTGGACCGAGGTTGAGGTTTGACTTGGGGCTGGCTTAGAGTTGGGGTTAGGGTTAGCAGGGCAGTTGGGGGTTAAGGGTTAGGTTTAGGGTTAAAAAGTGGTGTTAATGTTAGAACTGTATTGGGTTCATTTTGGAATTAGGTTCTTAAGTATGGCTGGAGTGGTATTGAAATTAGGGTTAGGTGTTAAGACTGGATTTTCAATTGGGGAGGCAGCTAGGTTACACAGTGGATATATATAGTAGGAAAGGCATTGAGTAAAAATCCATCCTGAGACAATTACTAGCTGTGTGACCCTGGGCAAGTCACTTAACCTCTGTCTGCCTCAATTTCCTCATCTATAAAATGGAGATATTACCAGAGTTGTTATGAGGATAAAATGAAATAATATTTGCAAAGTGACTTGCAAATCTTAAAGTACTATATAAATGCTGGTTGTAGCTGTTATTATTTACCATTGAGGTTGAGGTGAGCGGGGATTGGGACTAAGATTGGAAATAAATTTTAGGATTCAGCTTTGGGTTGCAGTTAGGGTTGGAACAAGGGTAGGGTTTGTGGCTGTGTTTGGAATGAGATTGGGACTGGGCTCAAAACTGGGGTTTCAATTAGTCTTACTACTGGTTAAAGGATACCTTGAGTTTAGGGCTAAGAGAGCATCTAAAAGCTTTCCTTGTCCAGACAATGGGTATAGAGGGAGGTGACCCGTAGCTTTTCTCTGATCAAACTTTTCTGGAGGTGGTAGGGACATGTTCTTACGCTGAATCCCACCTCCTGACAGTAAGGTGATAAACTCAAGGTGCAGAATGAGAAATGTACACATTTTTGGACATGGCCAATGTAGAAATTTCTTTTGTTTGATTCCACATATTTGTAACAAGCATTTTATTTTTCTTAGGTTTTTTTCCCCAATGAGGGAAGTGGGAGGGTGATTTATTCATTGAAAATAATAAAATTAATTTTTTTTTTGTAATGAAAGAAGTGGCTTATTAGAAAGTGTGGAAGAGCATTTGGGTTGCTTGGCTTGGATCTGCGTATTGAGCTGTCTCAAGATGGACTAGGCTATCTCAGGAAATTGTGAATTCCCAATTATTGGAGGTCTTCAAGCAGAGGATCAAGGACACTTTTAGAAGGAATTCCTGTTTGGGTACAGGCTAGAACAAGGGCCATCTGAGATCTCTCTTCCAACTCAGAGATTCTGTGAAGCTTTGAGAGAATGAGAAGTATGTGTCAGGGCTTTGGATGAGAAATCCTGGGCTATGCCTTGACCCCAAGATTCTATGCCATGAACAGGGATCCTGTTTGCTGTGACTCTCATTGGACCAGGGTTGGCCTATGGGCTTGGAAGCCTCATGCTGAGATTTTATGTGGATATTGACCGGATGCCTGAAGGTGAGTTCCCTTTCCCTAATTCTCCCCATCCTCAGCATCCTTCCACCAGTAGAAATGGAGGGGAGGAGGGAAGAGAAGGGAGGGTGTGATAATCCCACAGATCCAGAGACAACATGGAACTAGATTAGTGGGGCATTACAACCGGTGTTATTGCAGCAAATTTTATCTACTCTGAAGGCCCAACCCTGTGCTAGGTACCACGGGGGAAGACAAAAGGAAATGTAATCCTTATCCTAAAGTTTCTTTTTTTGTACTGGTATCCTTAATGCTTAGCTCACTGCCTGGTACATAATAGGTGCTTAATAATGCTTGTTGACTGATTTAAGAAAATTTGAGGAGAGAGAGAGAGACAGACAGACAGACAGACAGACAGACAGAGACAGAGAGACAGAGACAGAGACTGATTTCATTTGGGGAAGTGCAGGCGGGGAGGGTTGAGCCTCTAGCAGTGGCCTAGGCTTGCAGAAAGAGTGGTTTATACATCTTAAAACAATGTAGGAGAAAGGGTCCCGCTGTTATTATTTTTTTAGTTCAAAGCATCAGGAAGATGACTCTGGATCTTCCAGAGGGGGAACAGGATGCCCAGATACTAATCCCTAGGCCCTCCTGGAGTCAGGAAAGGGTTAGGGTAGAGCAGTGAGGAGAGAACAGTGCAGTACAGGGAAGCCTCACTCAGTTTTTGAGCTGCCCAGACCGTCTCTGGTCTGTGGTGGCAACTTCCTAAAACCAGAGGCTTAGCGCTTCAGTGAGTCTTGGCTTCTGGGAAGCCACCCGGGGGGCCACTACCACCCTCCTCACCACCACCACCACCACGCTGGGATTTACAAGGATTCTCAGGGAAAGGAAGGGGCAATGAGGGCTGCAGCCTTCCCTTCTGGGTTTTTTTTTAACTTTTCAATTGATAAGTATTTATTTTCTCTCCCTCCTACCTCCCCCTTTCATTTTGAAAAAAAAAAAGAAAAAAACAAAATTCTTATAACAAAAAACACAGTCAAGCCAAACGAATTCCCACATTGGCCAGGTCTAAAAATATATGTTTCATTCTGCATCCTGAGTCCATCACCTGTCTCTTTGTCAGGTGATGGGAAGCTTGCTTTGTTATCAGTCCTCTCGGGCCTCGGCCTGATTTCACATTATTCCCCTTCATATATTCTGTTACCGGCAAATCGTTTGACTCGACGTTTCCCAACCTAGTCCTGCCCCTTCCTCACTCACATTTATGCAAACAGTCCCCTAGGCCTAGGACACAGCCTCTCCTCATTTCTATCTGTCAGAAACTCCGGGCTCCCAGCTTAGATGTCCTGATTTCCAGGAAGTCTTCACTGAATTTCCATCTCTTTCTTTCCTCATGTTTCTTTTGGGCTCCTTTCCTGGATCTCTCCTTTCCCCTTTTCATATTCCACCTTGGATCCTAGTTATTTATGTAATTCTTGTATCACTCTCCAAACCCTCACTCCCATTCCACCCCAATACACTCCCTATTAGATTATAAACAAGCTGTCAGGGTCCACTCATCTTCACCTTTGTCTTGCCCTTTCCTCAAGCCTCCTCCAAACTTTGGGCCCCAGGACCCAATCTCTCAGCCTTGCTTGATCTCATTTTAAAGCCTAATGTAAAACTCCTAGGGATGTCTTTCCTAGCCCTTTAATTTGCTCTGCTCCCTAGGTTCAGAGAGCTGCTACCACCTCCCCTAGTTACCTTCCTTCCTTCCCCCACTGCTGCCACCATTACAGGGCCTGGATTAGAGCATCTGCTCCCTATTTTCCCTTCACTTCAGAAAGTGCCCACAGTGTCAAAGGAACAATGCCAACCTCTGGAGCTGCAGAGGTGTATGACTGAACCAGTATCTGCCCTCAAGTACATTTACTCTGGCTTCATCCGCACTCCCACTCTGGACCACAAGCTCATATTTTCAAGATTTATTTATGTTTCCCCTTACAAAGGAAAAAAAAAGACTATGCACATTCAGAGACAATGGCTCCTATTTCTGTATCACTTGAAATTTTCAAAGCACTTTCCACATTTAAGGGAGGAAGGTGGTCTTACTGCCACTGTACAGATAAGAAAACTGAGACTCACAGCAGTTCCTAAGATTCACCAATTGCATAGGATTTAGGCCTGGGAAAGGGCCATGGGTATCAGTTAGTCCAATCCCTTCACTTCGCAGAGGATAATGAGCCCTTTGGGGAGGGGGAGGGCAGAAGCAAGTGAAGCGAGGTCCCACAGGTGCAAGTAGGAGTCAGTCCATCAATGACACTTTATTAGTGCTTATGATGTGCCAGGCACACAGTAAAATAAAAATTTTTTTAAAAATAAGCAGGAAGGGGGATAGGGCAGAGAAGATACAAAATAAAACAAGAAAACAGTCCCAGCCCTTGAGGAGCTTAGAGTCTAATGAGCAGAGGTGGGATTTAAACCCAGGCCTACTGACTCTGAACCCAGTACTTTCTCTACTTTTTTCCAGTAATCACACATACACACGTATACACAAGTCTATATATACATATGTGTATATACACAATACACATATATATACATACACATATACACATATGATATATTGATATATGTCAATCACATACATATATGTATTGTGTGATTTATATGTTGATATATAGCAATCACACACATATATCACACATACATATGTGTATATATGTGTACTTGTGTATGTGTGTATATGCATATACATTTAGAGACATACATACACACTATACGTATACACATACATACATATACATATATACATATGCATGCCATATATATGCATTGTGCATATTGTATATGTATATATGCATGTATGTGTACATGCACAGACGTACAAGTCTCTGGCTTGCTGCCTTGAATTTCATTTACATTCTTATGATTATCTCTTATGATAAGATACCTCCCCTAACTTCTCTGCAGATTTTGGGGGGAGGTCTATGTGTGTGGAATGTTGAACATAGTATCTGATTATTTTTTTTAATATACTGATTGATTCTGCTGATTTCTTTCTCATCTTCCTCTTCCATATATTTGCATGTCATTTTAAGTTTGCAAAATGCACATCCATTCCCAAGAGCCTTCTGATCATAAGATCATAGCTTTAGAGCTGGAGGGTCTAAAATGACCCTCATTTTACAGATGAAGAAAGAGGTTCAGAGAGAAGGGACTTACTTATTTAAGGTCATATAAGCTATTAAGTGGCAGAACAAGGTCTGAAGACTTGCTTCTAAGCCAGTTGTCAGGTCTAGATGAGCTGGCATATAAACTTTATAATTTATTCTTTAACTTAGTTTTCTTATGCTTAATTCAGTGCTCATGAAGTTCTCTGGCCTGGAAGCCCCTCACCACAAATATCTGCCTGCTTCCCTTCCTGGCCCAGAAAAGTGTCCTTGCATCCCAGAACTATTAATTGTCATTGGACCATTTTGTTTCTCTAGCCCAAACTCATTGGGCGTTTTATAGGATTAGGCTCACTCTCAACCAGTAAGCAAATGTCTTTGTCAATGTCATTCTTTGGTTGTTTGTTTCACCCTCATTCTTTCCCAATTCCTGGTATCTGATTTTTATTTTATTTTATTTTATTTTATTTTATTTTTGTGAGGCAGTTGGGGTTATGTGACTTGCCCAGGGTCACACAGCTAGTAAGTATTATGTGTCTGAGGCCAGATTTGAACTCAGGTCCTCCTGATTCCAGGGCCTGTGCTCCATCCACTATGCCACCTAGCTGCCCCTCCTCTGTAGATTTTGGGGAAGGGAGCAGAGAGGAAGGTCTTTGCATGTAGAATGTTGAATATGTTATCAGATTTTATTTTTTGATGCACTGATTGGTTTGCTGATTTCTTTCTCATTTCCTCTTTTTAAAATTTTTGTTTTAAGAGAAGGGGAAGGGAATTAAGGAATGAATGAAATATTTATTAAGCATTTATCATGTGCAAAGCACTGTGGGAATACACATAGAAAAATAGGACGGTCCCTATTCTCAAGGAGCTCATGCTCTAATGGGGAGAGATAATACATATGGACAGTTTCAGCTGCAAGTGAGATGGAAAAATCCCATGGTCCTTAGGGTGCAGGGGCAAAACAGATAGTAATGTGTCTTCTTTGGTATCAATTCTACTGATAAAATCACTTCCTTTTCTGATGTGGAGCCATCTGACAGTGCCAAGGCCTTTGGTGGCAAGAACTTTCCTTTCTGGGTCTTGAGAAGCTGGGGCAGTAGCCTCTGCAGGAGCGGTTGCCAGACTGCATCTTCATGGAGTTTGCTTCCCACGATGATGGCTGAGGGTGCTGGGCTGGAAACACTGCTATTCCCAAGGCTCATTGGATGGATACAAGTGGAAGTTTAGGGGATTTAAAAACAAAAGATATTGTTAAAAAAATTTTAACCTTGTGTCTTTCTGCATCATTTGGAACAGAGAGAAAACTAAAAAGAGGAGTCAGACTGAGTCTGTGGGCTGGAAGTTAGAGGATATCTATTCCAACCCCTCCCAGAACACAGGGTGGGAGACTGACATTGACAAGGAAGCGTCCTTATTGGTTGAGAGTGAAGTCCAGCTAGAACAGGGGTCAGCAAATGACACCACCCTCTGCTTGTTTTTCTCTGGCCCCCTCCGGATAGATTTGGGGAAAAAAAAAACACACAGCCCTAAGAAGTGGTCCTCCAGCAAGGCTGGAGGGTCATGTGACCTCCTGCCCATTCTGTTTTTGGAGCCCTCCTATCACTGGAAGGGAGGAGGGCGTACACAGTATCCAGCCCTGGGCTTTAAGCTTTGCTGCACAGCGTCAGCTTCCTGAGGATTTTTGCTTTCCATACCTACTGGTCCAGGAGCCCTTTACATTTGGGCCTGATGCTTCCTCCCTTATTAATTTCTGAAGTCCTAGTTGAGCCTCACTAATGTCCTGACCTACCTGGTCCCTGGGTTCAGCCGACTCCCTGGTCTCAGGGATGCACAGCCCCTGGTCCGGCATGACAATGTCTTTTCCCCTTCTGCTCTTTCTGTCACTGCAACAGA